ATGTGTGTCAGCCATTGAGTTGGTCTTGCTAGATGAAGATATGAAAAAAAAAACCAAAAAAACCCCACCAAACCAAAACAACAAATCAAACATAGATATAGAGGAATAGGGGATACATTGGGTGAATTGGTGGAAATAAAGGAATATTACTTTACTTTCAACAGTAGTTGAAAGATTAAAAAAAATCTTTGATAATGTATCAGCAGTAACTTTGACACAAGAATAATACCACAGAACTTCTGATTATCTTTGTTAATGCATAATTTGGTAGAGTTGATCCATACGCTGTTGGATGTCTAAGGATTAAGATGGAGACGATGAAACATAAGAATGATTTGCTGTTGTACCGTTGCCAAGTGTCTGCTAAAGTGTTTTGAAAGTGCTCGGATTCCATTAGTACCTGTTAGTGCTTCATTTGAGATGCAAATTATTTATCTTTGTACTGTGAGGAGAAATGCTGGTATTCAGGAGCAAAGTCCAGGTACAAGTATAATGAAAGTATAGTGCAAGTATAATGACACCCTACAGTTCCTGATCTTGCCCAGATGTTATGACTTCTGACTTCAAAAATTTATTTTCATATCATCAGATAAAACAAAAACCTCATGTGGTATATCTTCTTTGGTGTATGCCAGTCTCAGTAGTGAAATACTGTCATGCAAAACATGAAGGTGGCAGTGGTGACAAAGGTGTGGAACTAAGAATTTGGGTTCTAAGAAATCTTAGGCTCTAATTGCCTGTTTTTTTTCCTCCTCCACATAGATATCTTTGGCACTGGTTGTTTCTGCTGTTGTTCAGGAATTTGTTTCTGTGTTCGTTTCCGGTTTGTAGTATTGGGATAGTAACAACTTGTCTTAAAAGTGTGTAAAGATTTATGTTTACATACCATTATGAAGACATAGTGCTATGCAAATGTTGACATTTTTGTTCTTACAAGATCTGTCTAAGTTTTCTAGTACAGCTTGTGAAATGAGAAAGCGTAAAGCCTGAGCTTTTATGACATTTGTGTTTTGAATTCTTGTGGTTGCACACTAATTTTTGTTGATACGAAAATAAGAGCTATTACAATATCCAGGAAACTCCAGCACCCTCTGTTCTGAGTGCTTTAAAGGGAGACTCATCTAGAATGTATGGCTGTAGAAATGCTGCTGAAGATGATGAAAAGCCTGGAGATAATCCGATAGTCATTAAGATTAAAGATGAAGATTAAGGGCCCAAATCGGCCTTTTGGAGATATGAATGTAGAAATACGAGACTTCAGCTGATCTCTGTATGCCATCAGGTCATCAGGATTTATCCTGGATTTTCTCGTCTGATTTTAACAAATTTGAATGAATTCAGTTTGGAAAGGAGTTCAGTTCTGCACATCTGCAGAGCAGCATAATTTTTAGCCCATTTAGTGTCTTTTGTAGCCACAGGTTGGCTGAATTAATAAATCCAAGGTGACATCTTAGTCACATAGTTTTGGCTAATATATTCTAAAATGTACTTTAATTGTTTATAGTATTTTTAGGAACGTGGTGATGAGCATTTATAAAGAGGCAATTACCCATGTAAGAATCCGTGTCCTAATTTTCCTAGATTTGTATTCATATAAACCATAAAAAGATGCTATGCTTACTGCTTTTCTTTTGAAAATGACTGTGTGTTGGAGGTGCATTTCATACATGATCTGACTTCCTTTCCCAGCCCTGTTTTTTCTGTGTTATTTCTATTCATGCTTACAAGCCAGGAAATTCTGATAGCGATAAACCAAAGAAAAGACATAAATGTATCTCTTAAAAATTCTAACATGCTAAAATCAAAGAAAGCTGTAACGGACAAATAAAAGTTTGTTTAGGTAATTTAAATGAAAAATATGTAAATTTTTTCTATAGTGACACTCGTACAAAGAGCATGTGAAGCTACAAATCAAAGTGATAAATTGCATCAAAATAAATCATAATACTATGTTAGTGGGGTAGAGGGAACAGCTCATATTGCGGTGTTGGTTTTTTACACTTACACGTTACAATTTGAATTGAGTATCTATAGAAATGTCAATCACATGTGTATCGATGATCTTGTAGTCTACTTCTGTATAGCTTCTTTAGATAAAATATTTCTGTTCTATATGATGCATATTCTTTTTCTGGTGTCCTCTCCACAGCCTTCAGTTTTTGTGCATCTGTAGCATATGGCTTTCGGGTTGCAGGTCCTAAGTGTCCTGCCAAGCCAACTCCTGCTGACCTGTAAGCTGCTCTGCTCAGTCTCCTCCTAAGGAACTGGACAGGAATTCAGTGTGTGGTGGATGTGCTTTTCAGTAGGCAGTTCCCACTCTCCAGGGGCAGAGAGGATACCGTATGCGCCAGTAACTGAGGGAAGGCCTGTGATGAGCCTTTGCTGCTTAGAACCCAGGTGGGTTCACCTGTGGAAAAAGTACAAATGCAGACCTTCCCTGAAGTGTGACTCTCTAGTAACTGAAGCATCATCTGTACCATGCATGGAATAACTACCTCCCTTTTTGTCAACACTTCAACAAAAAAATCAAGTTAGGATTTTTTTTTTTGACAATGGCATTTCTTTTCCCTTGGTATTTGGTTGCATTCATGGACAATATTCAAGTCATTTTTGTATTACAGCAAGTTACTCGTCTTTCTGCATTTGATTCTGGAGTATAATCCTTTGCGTTTACGTGTTGTTACTGAATTCTGTTATATGGCTGTCACACCAGTTTTGCAGTTTATCAGGACTGTTCTCAGTTGCCATGGTGTTCTTTAAAGTTTTTTGGGTGTTGGTTTTGGTTTGGTGGTGGTTTTTTTTATTTCTCCCAATTTTTGCCAATGGCAGTTCTGGTAAGTGTGTTCTGTATTCTGTTGTCTAAATCATTAAGGACAATGTTGAATAAAACCAGACCCAGGAGACACACACCTTTGCAGGGACCTCCAGTGAGAAGTTTGTAGTTCTTGTTTGAGTGCAGTATTCCAGCCAGCTGCTCGTTTATCTGACAATAATATCATTAAACAATACAATAATATCATTAAATATCAAAAGTTGCATTGTGCAGCTGTAGCAAGTATCTTCATAAAAGTTAAGAAACTTCACATTGGCCATCCCTTATGAATTCTCTAAGCCTTTTACAGGGTGTCATGGGGGAGTTGCATTGATTCTTCATTGTTTTCACTGAAAAATCACAATGAATGGTTGTCATGCTGTCTTGTGTATGGTTAATAACTTGGTATGTTATGAGGTATTGAAAAAGAGTGACTCATCTGGATTTCCTGAGATCTCCTTTCTACTTTGTGAAGGAAAAAGGGATTGATTTCCTCTCTGAAGTCAAGATAAACCAGAGAAAAATGTGGTAGTATTTGAGAATACATGACAAAAACTCCAATTAATAATCCCTTTGTTGACAGATTTCAGTCATCTGTAAATAAATTTAAAATAATTTAGTGTGTGTCAGCGTGATGTATGTCATACTCCTCATTGTTCTAAAAGTTAAAACTTACATTCTGGTTTTGTGCCTCATGATAGTAAAATAACATTGTATAGTTTTTCAGTATGTAGAGATTCATTAATGTAGCCAGACTGAATTCTGTTATTCTAATTGCCTGCATCAGTGAGAATGATTCCTGATGTCTGCAGTGTGTGCTGGAATATTTACATTATAGCTGTGTTCTGCTTTCTGTCATCTTTCCATCAGGGCCATCCTGCTTGTGGAAAAGTGCAGAGCCACAAAAACTTTCTTCTTATATTCATTCTCCAGTAATTGTGATGGGTGCTCCCAATTACATACTGCATTAATAGCCAAAAAGGGTGCTAATCTGACTAGCTGCATCAGACACAGATGTTTCAAGTTATTTCTTTCTGCCTTTGGCAGTCACTTCCACAACTACTTATTTACTGGTGGAGGGAAAAAAAAGACATGGTAACCAAGACAAGAAGTTATTATGCTGACACATTAACTGTATCATTTGTTTTATATGGAGAGCTTTAAAGGTAATGTTCAGCATGTTTAATTTATTCTTTTTTCTTTTTTTTTTTTTGCAGTAATCCAAAGTCTGCTAATCAGAGGATAAACAAAAAAGTTAACAATGATGCATCGTTAAGGATTCAAAATTTGTCTATTTTGGTGAAACAAATAAAAACTTACTATCAGGTCAGTTATTGTTTCTTGTATTAAGTTTTGCCTAGAATTGTTTCTAAGTATTCTTTTATAGTTATGCCTTTAAGGGTAACAAAAATAAGATTAATACTTTGAGGTACTTGTATGGATAGTTCCTTGTAAATCTGGTTAAATTTTTTGTCATGCTTAATTTACAGCTATAATAGCAGTCTGGAAACACTTGTATGTGAATGATGGTCTGTTTATAGATTAGATATTCTGCATGTTTGATTACTCATCTAGTACATTAAGCAGTATTGATCAGTATTTTCTGAATTGAAGCAAGTTTTGTGCCTATGAGAGAGATTATTACATGTGCACTTAGTGTTATCAATGGAATCTTTGTAAGAAAAATATGTGATGAAATTTATTTGTTTTATACTTAATTTGATTTTTCATCAGGAAAAAAGATCAGTGAGGTGGTAACAATCAAATGGGACTTCATAGTAAATGCAGTGATGATCTAATTTAGAGCTGTAAAATAGACATTGAATTTTTGTGTTTTGTGTAACAGGTAAGATAGCCATTGAATTTTTGTGTGTTTTGTGTGATAGATAAAAGCTGGTACTATGCCTTCTAGATGCAGAGCCTGGATAGAGTGGTGTACACATGGACACTATAGCAGGACACTGCTGATACCACCAGTGTCCCTTACAGTGTGTCTTTTAGTGCTCTTCCCCACTTCCTGCTCCTTTCTGTCAGGAGAGTCCAGATCTGGGAGCGAATCTTTGGTCTCCCTCTCACAGTGCATCATGGCAGAGCCTGTACTCATGTGTGCTTTTCCTCATGTGTACACACAGAGTATGTGTTTTAAAAAACTCCAGAGTACAGTGAAAATTCCTGGCTGTCACTGCAGTGATCAACCACTGCACATCTTTCTAGCTAGCACTTCACGCGTATGCATATTTCACATCGTTCTTTTCTTGGCAGCTACTAGGTGTGGATATAAGTGCTGCCTGCTAAGAGCCATATGCTTTTCCATTTCCTGATGGTAGTTGTTTTTGACCAGGCATTAGTTTTTCACAACTGGTGCAGCAGAAGGCACAAACACTGACAGGATTGATCTTTATTTAAATACAAAGCATTCCGCGTGCTGCTTTGGCCTTACAGTATCAGCCAGTCCGAGTGCAGCAGTAATAGGCAGAATTGCTTGCATTCAGGTAGCTTACCTTTGAATGATTCAGGATTGTGAATGTTGCTCCAAACCTTTGTGTTAGAAAGAATTTATTATAGCTAAACGTTAAAATCAGTCAGCATGCCTTTAATGGTTCAAATTTGTCCTGTGTAAGCTGTATAGAACTGCATATGCTTTTTCCCCCTTTCCGTCCCTAGTCTCAGGCTTCTAGTCTTGTGAGATGCCAGCCTCTTCAGGTAGTGCAAGTGAGGGAACTTGTAAACATTGCAGCTCTAGCATTTTAGTAGGAGTAAAGCTCTTTAGTAGCCAAACTGGAATGCTTGTTCAAATTTAAAATTGCTTTTTGCATTTGTTGGTGTTGGCTCAGATAGGCCCACATGCATGCAGGGAGCTTTACGCGCTATGGTAGTTTATTGGGTTTGGAGAGAAGTGTTAAAAGATGGACCGTGTCTTTGTTTCCTCTTGAACTTAGTCCAGCCTGGCAGCTGGTGTTTTCCCACAGCCCATGCGTGGGTTAGCAAGGCAGCATAGCAAACTCTGTTGCAAGAAGGGGTCAGTTTAGTTCCTGTCACCTGTAAAATTACCCAAGGCAGAAAAGCTAGTGCTTGACGGATGCCTCAGAATCAATCAGAGAGGCCTCTGGTAGCCTGGGGTACGCCTTGGCAGAGGCCTGAGCCCTCATACCTGAGCGCTTCAGGCAACTGTCCATACAGGCATCGTGCTTGGTATATGTTCTGAGTGGGGCGCTTGGGAACATGGAAAATAATCACTGCATTGAGGTACAAGATTAATTAATGTCTGGAATATTAAGTAGGAATAAGATATAATGGATATCGGGATTTTTAATTTTTAGCAGTATGTTATCCTGATTCTTAAAACTTTTTGTTTATTTCTGTCCACGCTAGTTTATTCCGTGTGTTTTTATAATGTCTGTGGAAAATGTCTCTCAATTTAGCAAATAATTGTGTTGGTGTTGTTTGTGTACTTGTCAAAAAACCTGCACTGATTGACTATAACATTCAAACTTAAAATGTTATGTTAGGTTGTACAAGTTTTTTGGTTCCTATGTCATCCTTGTTCTTCTCTGTAATTACAAGTGCATTTTCTCTTTCCCACGAAGCTGCTTTACTTCCTTACGGCATCACCAAACTCTTAGTAGATCCCGAACCAGTCTTTTGAGCCTATACATTTCCTGGCAGCCATAAGAGCGTGGAATTGTTCTCAGCAGCTGATTTAGGAGAACTGATCCCTTTATAAATTTTGGTGGGCTTGGAAGGTTTAATACAGTGAGCTTCCATGACTCCCATGGGTGCTCTTTCAGTCTTATTTGACAGATGATGTGCGAGCCTTTAATAAAATAAACACTAATGAACTCTAAAAATTTGTACAAGCAAAGCAGAATTTTGTAAATAGATTTAATTTATTTTTGCAGGTTAAACAACAGTTAAAAGAAATACGTGAAGCTTGGGACACACAAGTTCCAATTTCAGGTTTTTAATAGAAGCAATCATTTCAAAAGTAGTTACAAATTGAGAGCAGTTGCACCGAGCTTACTGATGAAGTTAACACCATGTGACAGAAAAAGTGGTAGACATCTTTGAAGCAAGGTAGAGGTGTTGTAAGAAAAGAGGTGATAATGTCTTCAGCCTGTAGAGGATGCATTTATTGGTTCCCCCTGCTTGTACTTTGCTTCACAGTAAGAGAAGCTTTGTAATAGCATCATGGAATTATTTGAGCTATTACAAAAAACTCAACAAAAAAGCCACCAAGCTCCCACTTTTTAAAGTATGTGATTTTCTTTTGTAGTAGCTATAAATACTCCTTGGATTCCTTATATTTTATCTGTTCTTTATTAATATAAAACTTCCTGTGGTGCTAATAGCTGCTAATAGCTGCTTTTTATTATTATTTGAAAATTCCCTATATCAATATCTCAGAAGTACAAGAGTCATGGTTGGTTGAAATTAATGATATTTGAGTAGGTCAAAGCTATTTTCTCCCTTCTTATAATTTGTCTTAAGCATGTGCAATGAAAGTATGTATTTTTCAGCATAATGTTAATCAATTTGGGTATAATTTTTAATGTCCTATATTAACTGGTGAGAACTTTCAAGTATAGCTATAGCTAATAATTTGTACAGCTGTTTTCAAGAAATATTGTCATTTTTCAAATTTGACATAAAATGAGTTGACTTTTCTTATGTTAGGTTTTTAGGTTACAATACAACACATAATATGTGCCTTTTGGATATCAAGCAGTGATGGTTCTGGAATATGTTGCTTTTGAGTATGAATATTTTATGTATTTATGAATCTGTCACTGTGGAAAAACAAAAAGCATGACTCCAGAGCTGCTGATGGGATGGCATCTGCTGTGAATAAACATCTGGGAACAGGAGGAAGACTATTCTGCTTCAGAAGAATTAGGCTCTGTCTAGACTGGGGATTTGACCTGATTACAGCCATTACTGGCTGACAGAAACTATCCATTGATAGAATCTGTAGATAGGCAAAGCTGCTGCTTGAGTGTGTGGGACTTACCAAACTAAAACTCCTCCTGATCATGCAAATAGGGTTTTGTACCTTTATATTCAGGATTGTCCCAGCATAACTCCAGGGAAAAAAATGGTAACTTTGACATCCACGTTTTTGGCGAGGACCCTGAGGCTATGGACATGAAATAGAGGAAATTGGTCTTTTGTGGTATAAATGCAACTTAGAGCCAACAAAATAAACATCTATCGGTAAGCTAGTCAGAGAAGCATGACCACTAATAATTTAAAGGAGTTTTGTTACATTCTGAGACACAGGATCTAGTTGGCTTAACACCCATAAGCCAGCTCATTGCCATGAGAGGATTTTACTACGTTGAGATGATCTTGCAAACAAATAAAACAAGGCTTCTGTAGAAGTGATTCATACTTGTTGAGTTGTTTTTTTTTTTAGAGTCCAAATAATTAAGTATTGAACATGCATGTATTAAGACCTGAAAAATTTTAAACTACTTAATGCTAATTTCTCTTTAATGGTGGGTAATATTTGATGTTTGCTGTTGTTCAATACATATAATTCAAATAATATTTCAATTAACTTTTATAGGAGAATTTGCAGCAATTGATCATGATGTCTTTGCCAAATGTACTAATAATTGGCAAAAATCCTTTTTCTGGTAAGTTTATTTTTAAGATAAACATTTATATTGGTGTAGTAATTTGTATTATTTCACTGGAAATAAAATTCATATAGGATTGAGCCTTTCAACAGAAGATAGTGTAAATACTTTTAGCAAATAAGTGGTTTAATAACGATGAGTAACACTTTCTTTGTTCGCACCAAAGGTCCACACTTTGCAAAAAACAAGTTCTGTCCAAACCTCAGCACTGGCTGTCAGTAGGATTTATACTGAAGCGAAATGTATTTCACAGCAACCAGTGAGCCACTGATACAACAAAGTATAAGTTTCATGTATTCTCAGCTACTACGCTTTCAACTTTATTTACCTGAGCCGCCCCTGAGAAAATTGGCAGTTCAATGCATCTGACTTGATCCACCTCCTAATCCCTGTTTTTCCTTCCCCAAAACTCTCCTACTTCTCTTGCATCTTTACCTGAAAAATATTGCAATTACCTTTTTGCTTTCTCCCCTGAACTGACACTGTCTTCTCCATGCTCCCACCTTCTCTGCTTCCAGCTCTGAGAGTTGCAATTTTCAGACCAAGAAAATTAGCCTGTATGGACCCAGCTGACTATCCACAGCCACTTGGGAATCTCTGCACCATGCTCTCAATTCCAGAAGCACGGAGCAGACACACCTGGCCTGCATGGAGCCACTATGGATTGGGCAGAATTTATTTACTTGGGTCTAATGTGTCCCAGGTGTTCTACTTCAGATGTTCTAGCACCTCAGCAGAGAGGTTAGGAACTACTCTAACAGGCTGTGTAGCTTCCCCTGGCTTTTTTTATTTATTTAAGATGTCTTATATGCCATGCTTCTGTGTATGTGAGACAAGATTTTTCTCATGAGCAAGAAGAACCATCTGTGTTACCTCACTTTTCAATTGCAGGGTTCATAATGTTGATATTTTCCATATCCCATCTGCATATATCCCATTTATGTAGGTATCTTGATTTAATTTTTTTTATTTTCACTTTTGCTTTTGAATATTGCTGCTTTTGCTTCTGAGGTCACAGCCTTTTAAGTTTTTATACGTGTAGATGCTGTAATCGGTCATATGCACCAAGAAGTGTGAATGTGGTCTCTTCTGAAAGAATAGAATGCATCGTGCTTTTGTATTTTGATTCCAGATTTTCTGAAGGTTTTCAAAAGACTCCGTAGATTTGCCTAGAGACCAGATTTAGTGGAGGGAAAAAAAACAGATTAAAAAACCCCAGGTCATAGTATTGGTTTTGTAGTGCATTTTTTATTATCTTTAAAATACTGGGACAAAATATGTCTTAACAGTATTGTGTAGTGTAAGATGAAATTTTGTTAAAAATGCACTACAAAAACCCACAAAGGTAATTTGGTATCAGTTATATGCATAAAAAACCTATGCTTTAGTCATTGATAAGAAAGCTTCTTCCTGTTCTGGGACCTCAGCTAAGTCTATGCAGCTTTTGTGGTTTGGCAGCTTGAACCTCTGCTGGTGTATGCATTGCTTTCCAGTTGCTATGTTATTGGATTTGTGAGAAAATACGGGCTTTATTGAAGCATAGCCCACATACTGAAAATACTTGTTACATATGGACAATATTCTTGGAAGATGTTTCAGATTCCTGCTTGAGTTCATCATAGAGTTTGATGTGAATCAGAAGGTAGACCTGTTGTTTTGGGTTCCATCCTTTGAAAGTTAAGACTTCTCTTGCCGTATCAGCTTGAAGAGGACCTCATCCCTTTAGGGATTTTTAAGCTTTGTTTCTTTGGTGGGCAAATGTAGAGAAATCAAACCTCAGGGGCCTTTTGAGAGACTTGCTGTGTAAATCTGATTGCATCGAGGTGAGCCCCCATAGTAATAGTCAGTTCTCTGATGAAGATTAGGATTTGGTCCACTAAACCTTAGGTTGTAGCTGTGATTTTTTTTTTTTCAAGTTTTTCCCCTTTGCACTGCTTTGCACTTAAGGAATAATTAGTAGAGAAATACCAGAAGAAGACAAATTGCAGAAGGCAAGAGTAGATAAGATTTCAGGAAGAGAAACGTGTTTGTAACAGAGGCAGTTGGCTAATCAAGGAACATGCAGCTAGAATGTGGTAAAAAGAGGTCATCAGAGACTTTATCAAGAAACATTTCAGTTGAGCTAATTGGCAGGAAGCCAGTTTGAGGAGAAAACTGGAGAAGAGCTACAGGCTGTGATTGTAAATGTTAAGTTAAATTACAGAGGAAAAGGAAAAAGAAGATAATGGTGAGGCAAATGTTCTTTAATGGAGGAAGAGGAAAGATTAAAAGCAGTTCATATATCTGAGGGAGCAAGCCAGGGGAGGATGGAAGGCTACAGAGAATACAAAAGTCAGGGATAAGAGTGAGTGCAGGGAAGATCAAATGGTAGGCTAGGGTAGGGACAAAGTTTAAGCAGCAAGTTGGAGGGTTTATCTATTTCTGTATTTGTGATGAAGAAAAACATAGGAGATGATTGGTAGCAGTCAGAAGCTGAGGTTGTTCAATATTTTGCCATGTCCCTTCAGGGAATGTGGGGGACGGACATGGAAACAATACTCAGGTAGGCTTTTAAAAGCCAGTCAAGAGATGCTGAAGCAGTGTGGAATTGAGCATCCAAAGGGAGTTCAGGAATTGCTTTAAAAAAAAAAAAAGTGTGATGAATTTATTGGAATAGATGAATACAGCATGTGAGATGTTGGGATGAATTTCTTCTATGAGAATATTCTGGTTAATCTTTATTAAGGCAGCCAGGTGGAATTCAACTTATTTAGGTGAAGTAGTGTGCTTCTGATGAAACATGTTCATTGATATTTTCTATTTCTATGTAAAAGACTTCACAACTTGAGTCTTTGGGATACAATAAGTCTGTATAAATGATTCAAGATTTCCCATTTGAGATCATGTTCTTTGTAACGTACCTACTTGACAAACCTCTTCTGAAAAATTGAAACATTACATGTTCATTGGGATTATGCATATCTCCCTCTAAAAGAAGCAAGTTGAGTCAATGTTGAGAAAAGGCTCTCTGCTTATTATGTAGTGCACATAGAACTCCTGCAGCCGTGAGGAAGGTGGAGAAGATTTGCATCTGTCTTTCATCTCTGCTTTCGGGCAGCAGGCTTGACTCTTTACTGAAAGCTAGTCAAAATAATTAGGAGTTCTGTATCCTTTTAGGTTTTCTCTTGTTTTCTTTTTAATTTCCTCTTTTGATCAAGATTACCTCATATCTGTAACTTTTTGAGAAGGATTTTACATTTGCTTCACTTAGAAAGTACTGTAGTGGATCAAATCAAAGGATAATTTTTCAAGTGCTTGTAAGTGAATGGTTAAGTCTTCCTTATGTGGGGGTTCATCCAAAATAGACTTAGTTGCCCAATGTAGAAGATGATTGCAAACTGCCATTTCAAAAAAGAAGGTTCTGGTTGAGTTTTCTTTTAGATGCTTCTTATTGTCTCGTGATCATTAGAGATCATCTATGATTACCGACAGAGTCCTTTAAAAAAGAGGACTTCAGTAACTTAGATCAGGTTCAAGAATGACTGTGCATGCTTCAGTATGTGCTAGACATTCACAGTTTGCTGTTTGGGCTGAGAGTGAATCTGTTGGTATCGGTAGTAGTTACACCAGCTGTGTCAGATAGTACCGTTTTGCAGAATAAAGGTCAGATTTCTAGCCAGACTGGCATTATTATGTTTGACAGCATAGCTTTTTTCAGGTTACCTAACAAGGAAATAAACTATTGGCTGAAATCCAGAGTATATTGTAGAAAGGATGCTATTAGAGCCTTTTATTCCTAGATAGCCCAATGGATAGTGTTTTCTGTTTCAATGAAGCAAAATGATACATGACCATATAGGATTTAATTCCAACTAGCCTAAACTATTTTGCCATCCTTAAAGCATTTGCTTTATGGTAGTTATATTCTAGATAGAGCCTATATTTAGTAGCCAGGTGAGGACATTTTGAATGTAAAAGGAAAGAAAAATCTTTACTAATCTGTCGAGTTCTTTAGCTTAAGCTTCTTTAGTAGATTAAGATGCCACATTTGGAAATACATTTTGATTTTTAGATGTGCAGATGAATATCTAATGTAGCTTTATAAAATTATTTAAATGAACTTGTCACCTCACTCTTACAGCTTGGGAGTGGCAAATGATTTATTTTGTAAAAATCTTGAGATACCTGAGATTACAGTTGAAAACATGATTGTAGGTCTCCAAAGTGCTTTTGAAAATGTCGCTCAAGTTTTGCTTTATGAGGGGCTGAAATGGTGTCTTTTCCATTCGACACTATTATGGATGTTAAGCTATTTGTTAACACTGAAAGTTGTCAGTTAAATGGCAAAAAGGACTAAGTTGAAAGCTGGAAAGCTGGTATTTTTGTCATCTTTTTGTTTTCTAAACTAGGTTAACATAAATTATATTAAAATAATGAGAAAACCTGATGTTTTCTGAGGAGTAGGGGGAGAAACTCTAATTACACCTACCGTTTTTTTGTTCTTGTTTTCTTCTTAGAGCCAGGTACTGAAGAAATAAAAAAACTCCTCCTGCTTTTACTTGGTTGTGCAGTTCAGGTAGGTTTGATCATGTTTACATCTGTATGGAATGGTTTAAGTGTTACTGGTCTCTTTTCTTACTGTTTTAATACCCGAGATTGTATATAGCTCTGACCTCCCTTCCTCTAATGGTACTATTGCATTCCTTAAAAATCTGGGTATTCTTACAGTTAAAATGTCTGCAACTGTACACCTCTTCTGGTTTATTGTATGATGATAGCAAACTGTGTATGTAGGATTTCTGATAGTTTATTAATTGTAATATTGTTAATTCACCTGGTACTGTAAAGAAAGGAAGACAGTGGTAAAGTACTGAAGAATTATCTTACTCCTATATCTTACTGAAACTGTTTCACGTATTTAGTAAACTTTTTTTATGGACTGCTGTTCTTACTAGGAAAGTTTGTACCATTCAGCTAATTAAACTGAAAAAATAGATTAGTTCTTAACGACTTAAATAAGCAATTTGAATACTAGGGGTGGACACTGAAGAAAAATCCACCTGTGGAACTCACTGTTATAAATCTGAATAAGTAACTATTTTAAGAAAATTTTATTAGTGTTGAAAGTTGTTATAGTTACAGTAACGTGGCATAAACCAAGCGTCTGTTGGTCAACCAAATTATTGGTTGATAATGTGATCATTGTAATTTCAGCTTTATCATTTTTAGCTTAGAAATACAAAGGAAGAATGAAAATACTTGTGATTTTTACATATTTTTATATATATACATGTGTGTATATATATATGTATATAAAATCTCCTTATTTTTAGTGTCAGAAAAAAGAAGAATTTATTGAAAGAATCCAAGGTCTGGATTTTGACACAAGAGCAGCTGTTGCAGCCCATATTCAAGAGGTATATTGCTATTTTTGTACTTTTAATTTTTTAAAGGTGGAATATTGTATTGTAAGAAGATTAATAGCATTTGTTCAAAACCAAGTAAATATGTGAGTTGTATATCTAGTGCTTTTAGTGAGCAAAAATGCCTTTATTTTTAGCTTCATTCACAAAAAGTTTTCATGATCAAGCTCTTTTAGATTACATTGTTAAAACAGTACCAGGGAGCAAGTATGTTGCTCCAATAGTTTCTTGGAATTACGGCAAATTTAGTTCAGTGAAATTTTCATGTGCAAGTTTATTTATAAGATAGAATTCAAATCCCATGTGTGTGACATGTAATATGTATTATGTCATAGTCACCTATTGCCTTTTATTTTGCCAGAAGTACAAGGTACTACTTTCAGGTAGATACAAATCTATTCCATTACGTACAATTTAACCTTTTTAAAATTTTTTTTCATACCTTGTCTGCAGAATTTAACCTGTAGAGTTTCAGCTTTATTTTCTTTATGTTTCCTTTCTACTCTTATAATTTAAAGGGGGTGTTTTTGCTCTTCCGTTTTGTTGTGTGTAGGTAACTCATAATCAAGAAAATGTGTTTGATCTGCAGTGGATGGATGTAATTGTGTTGACACAAGAATATGTGGAACCTCTCTTGAAAAATATGGCATTACATTTAAAAAGACTTATAGATGAAAGAGATGAGCACTCAGAGGTATGGATGTGGTTTGTTTAAGAGAACTATGAGAAATAATTTTTAAAAAATTTTACAGGTTACAGTTTTTATAACTAATACTTTAATGTATGTTCTGTTAGCATATTTAAACAAGGACTCCTTACTGCCAGAAAGTTGTTTCAGGTAGTTACGGTGTGCATACTAGTTGTTGAACACTTTGACAAACCAGAAAAGATAATAGCAGGTAATCTTTTTCATGTAAGCAGAGTCTGAAACAACTTTACGTAACATTCATCTGTAGTTGAAAACAGGAAATCCAAAGCTGTATCAGCTGAAGTTTGCAGGAATTGGTAACTTACCGGTTTGCAAGAAGATGCCTTACATTACTATATCTTATTGTACAGATTTGAGTGAACTGCAGCAGAATCCATACTAGGAGGGGAGGTTTCACAAGCTTACTGTGAGGCATAGTCGTTGTACTATGTGAGAATCAAGAAACAGAAATATATTTAATAAAAATTGCAAGTTATGAATCACCTTGGTGGTCCTAGATTTGCCCATCAGTAGAGTGTGGATATGTTGATGTTCCAATTATTCCAAGTATTCCTTTGACAGTCAGCAACTGTCTTTCCAGTTCACATCCTTGGTAAGAGTAAACCAGAAACTTAACCATGAAGAGAGAGGTTGTGTGGTAATGATGCTTTTTTGTAACACAAAGGAAAAGTAACTTTAAAATACAAGGGATCTTTGTATTAGGATAACACCTTTATTTATATAATAAATAGGAATATTCCTGTAGATCTGATGCTTTATTCGGTTGGCAAGGATGCTGCTGCTCACTGAAGAACACCAGTTTCTTTAGAGATACATATATTCATCCTCCTGTTCAAGGGGTTCATGCCCATTCATTACCCAGTCCATTCTGAGCACTGATAATCTTAAAAGTCTAAATGTGAGTACTTTAACAGTAGCCAAATGGCACTGTTAAATAACTGCACCTATTTATTTGCTTTAGGCATAGAGGTGCATGTAGGTCTTCTAACTTCTTTTATGGCAAAACTAGTTTCTGACATAAATGGCGCTCTGAATGCAATTCTATCCCTTTTTTCTCTCTTTTTTTTTTTTTTTTTTTAATTGCTTAGACTATCATAGAACTCTCAGAAGAACGGGACTGTCTCCGTTTTCTACCTCACGCATCGGCTGCACAATCACCTTGTGGATCTCCTGGCATGAAACGCACTGAAAGCAGACAGCACCTGTCAGTAGAGCTAGCAGATGCCAAAGCAAAGATAAGAAGGCTTAGGCAAGAGCTGTGAGTACATGTAGATTGCAGAAATGTATCAAGAGTCGTAGGGTTTTAAAATGTGGTTGATTTCACACAATAGTATTCCTCTCTAGACAAATTCTTCATTCTTTCAGATGTTCAATTGCAGTTTTAAATGCTTTTTTTTTTTTTAGTTATTTCACCCCAGGAAGCATATTTTTATAATGTAAGCGTATTTGTGGACCAGTGTGACAAATACAACTTTTTATCTGTGTTTGCCTTGATTTGTATTATGAATTATATTGATGTTTTAACCATAAACGTACTGAAATCAGTGAACTAGTGCTGTGGTAATTTTGTATCTTTTGTACTCTGCACTTTCTGAAAAGTTATGTTTGAGCAATCTCTTCAGCATGTTACAATGCGGTAGTGGGCTTTTAGCTTTACATTAAATTGTGTGTCTTTTAGAAGTACTCACCCCTAATCTTAACACAGTGTTGTCTTTTTCTTTTACATATTGTGTCCACATCGTTTCAGAGGCAAATTCTTTGTGCTTCCTCTGTTGTTCGTTGTCATTGATGAACGTCTGACTATAGTTTTAATATGTCTGTATTCATACAAGTTTCTAAGAGAATAGCTTTGCAGTTGAGGCAATTATGGGGTGACACACTCAAGAACAGTTACATGGGGCAAGCAGGTAGGGACAGGAAGCAAGAGCTGTGTCCTGACCGTTCAAGGAGTAGTGGCAAAAACATCCTTTTTAAAAGGAGATAGTGCTGTAGCAATTCCTTATCGGCACTATGATTAAGTTACCCATTTCTAGTTGGAAATACAGTGAAAAGTAGTCATCTATGGTTCATTTACAATTTATGAAATGTTTAAATTTGTTGCAGATAGGAAAAAAAATATTGTTAGAATAATTTCCTGTCCCCAATCTCTTTGTTTCTTTCTGTGTAGAAGATTCTTTGTCTGCATAACAGTTGTTTGCCCATGCCCTTCAATACTGTTCCTCTTATCTGCCATGCCACTCTACAGAGAAAAATGAAAGAAGGAAATAAAATTATGCAACTCAAAACTCCACTAAATCTCTTGACCCAATGCAAGCCTGGATGCAGTGAAACAGATCTTGAGTTTACTGGCAGGGGGTGGTTATTTATGTCTGAGGGATAGTGTAATTTGTAAAACGAGTACATTTTATAACTTGAGTCAGTTATGGTTTCTTACAGTTTCCAACTTGCTATGTTCATCCAGTTAACGGCAAGCTCTCTTCTCCCCCTTAGCTGATCCCTTAGCTAAGAGGTATATTCCCCTCCTTCACTTCAACCCAGTACTGTGAAAAATCAGTCCCACTATAACAAAGATTTTTCGTTGGTTGGTTTTCGTATTCTACTGAAAACGTTTTTATCCCTTCTATTTTTTCAAGAAAACTGATTCAGTAAGTATCAGTGGGTACTTAGGCTATCTTTGTAGTCTAGGAACAAATCTGAGCAGCAGTGAAGAGTTATTTAAAGAGAAGAACAATAATAGTCCAGTGGAGAATCTATTTCTCCCTATAGCAATGTGTAATGTTATTTAGCAGAGTGAAGTATGCGCAGTCTGAACTTAAAATACAAATATTGAATCTGAAGAGATTCAATATGTACAGTAACCTGCCTATAGTTTAGAAACAGCATAAATAAACATTTTTTTTAATCCAGCATATCTTGTGGAGAGAGGAGACAGGTAAAGTAAAATTAAAAGTTGAAGGTGACATAAGTCACAATTATCGGCTCGCTGGTCTGCTCTTACCAGAGTTTATTGATCAGATCATCTCTAGCTGGCTGGTTTAAGTATCTGGTTGATTTGCTCAGAGGATCCCCTTCCCCCACTACATTTTGGTCTTCATGAAGAATAGAGGACAAAAAGATATGGCTCTTTTTTCTGATGTCTGTATTATTGTGTGTCTACTGAAATGAGCCCGCCCAGGATATTCTATAAACAGCTGCACCAAGAAAATTAGTGAAAAAATTGCTGTTATTAGTTTGATTGACAGTTAATAGATAGCCTAAACAGTGAACAGTGGTATGTTCTGTATAATTTAGTACAATCCTCTCTAGTCTGTAGCTGAAGCATGCAATTAGGGCAACAGTGATGGCTCGGAACATTTCACATTTTGCACTCTATTTTAATTCAATTCGTAAATAAATTTCTTTTACTGTAGCAGTATATTTAAAATACTAGAATTTGATAAATTAGTTTCTGTCTGTAGCATTTGGTATTGCATGCTGCATGTATTTGATAAATTTAAAATTAGATTCATTCCAGAGTTGAAAATTCCCAGCTTAAAATTTATTTATAATCTGTTTTTGGCAATGAACCTTCATACCTTGTTTAATATGCACTGCAGTGAATATAATTTCATACAAAAGGTCTGTAAAGATTATTTTTCAGTTGGATGTGAAATAGCGATTTGAAGCTTATGATATGGAAAATTCAGAACTGGAAATTGCACCCCTAGTTTCTGTATTAAGTCCTGTGTGTTTCTATGTAGAACAATAATATAAGAACATGAATGTTAATAGAAAAGTTACAGTAATCTAACATAATACGGAATACATTTGTATTTCTGTGTGGTTTCTGAACACCTGTGTAGAGGGAAAGCTTTAATATCTGCTGTGGACAGTGATGTTCCAGTGAGCTACACATAGATGAACCCTTATACACTTGTAGGCTGGCAGCGACCTTTTTGAGACAATGTATGGTTGGAAAAAGATCATTTGTTGCGAGATTGGCTCATTTTTAAAACCGACTGTTCTAGTTTTGTTTAAAACAAATATATTTTTTGTTAGCTTTTAATTATGTTATACATTTCAGTCCATTAAATTATCTTATTTCCCCCTTTTCTACCTCTGTTTTGTTTCATGCTTGTATTCCAAAATATTAAATGATATAGTAACATGTTTGAATATGCAGTATATCTTTTAGGGGTATACAGTATTGGATATGGCAGTTTTTTTTCAAAAGTGAATATTGTTTGTTCTGAGGTGCCATTGAATTTTGAACATTAGGATTCTGTGTCTTTGAGAGAATGAAGTATTTCCCTTGCACTTATTGTTTAATGAACTGATTTGTAAATGAACTAATTTTTTGAGCATTGAGAAGTAAGTGTTACCTGGAAGTTACTGAGTCCTGTAAGAATTGTAGTATTCTATGTCAAATTGGTTTTACTACAAATTTTTTAATAGACTAAAACAGACACTGTGTTTTTTCCATAAAATTAAAATTCATTATGCATTTCATAAAATTATTAAGGTTATTAAGCGGTATCTTCTTTTAATGAGTAAAAGCACTCAAAAACTTTAATTCTTCTCTGTAAGAAAAAAAAGAATTACACAAGCATAGAAGTGCTTTTAAAATTGACTTTACCTGATCTGTGACAGGATGCATCAGTGGTCGCTGTCTGGTTCTCCTGGAAAACATTTGGACCTTTTGTATATTTTGAAATTAGAATTCTAAGTTTACATTTGGATGTGAATCTCCTGATGTGCATTCCTGTGTATTGTCCGGGGTTTTTTACAAAAAAAAAAAAGCCTTATCACAAAAAAATCGCTTACCTACACCCTAATGTTTTCTCCCTGCATAAGTAGGAAATCTTAGTGAACAACAATTTAAAGGACTTTGAAAAGTCTGACCAAATTTAAAAGATTAGAGGTATACTAAAACCTAAAAAATATCTAAAGCATAAGTCTTACACGCTGATGTCCATGATGTTCTGGATTAAAAGGGGGAAATCTCACAGATCTCAGTATCTTGTTCTCAAACGAGATGGTAATTATCAAGTTTTGCAGTCATATTTAACTGTTTTGTGTTTTCTCTTTTAAGTGAGGAAAAGACTGAGCAGTTGCTTGACTGTAAACAAGAACTTGAACAGATGGAAGCTGAACTAAAGAGACTTCAGCAAGAGGTATGGGTTTTGTCAATTTATTGTTTAAGAAAAAATGGGCAAAAAAAAAAGTTGCCACCACCAGAACACCACCACCCTTTTTTTTTTTGGTATTAGTAAGTGTGTTTTCGTGCATTTTTTAATTTTGCACTCTGAACACAATCTTGTGTAATTTATTCCTTTTTTTTTTGTCTAGTATGCTGGAAAATATTCTGTGTTAGGTTAGCATTTCTTCTCTAATTTTTTTTGTTTCCATGTTCATGCAATTTGCCACAAACATATCCTATGAGTGTACATGTGCTGAGTATTTCTCAAAAACAATGCAGTCAAATTTTGTCTGGTTTTCTTTATATTTTTGAGTCTGTGTGTTGGTAATCAGGGAAAACATCTGATTCATTTATTGTTAGGGTATGAGTGTACAAAATTATGTGGGATCATTTGAGATCATTATCTGTAAAAGAAATGTACTGTTCTGAAATTTACAATGTGTACATACCTCTCCTTGAAAAAGGCCAGTGTAGTTTTCTTGGAAATACATCATCTGGACTGAGCCTCTAAATTTTTTTTTCTTTACCTTTCTCAGAATTAACTGCATTACCCCAACTTAAATAGTGAAGCAACTATGTTATCCTTCAACATGTCCTGTCCAGTATTCTTGCCTTTAATTTCTGTATTTTCATATTTTCTAGAATATGAATTTACTCTCAGATGCCCGTTCTGCCAGAGTGTATAGAGATGAATTAGATGCTCTTCGTGAGAAGGCAATTCGAGTTGACAAGCTTGAAAGTGAAGTCAGCCGGTATAAAGAGAGGCTGCATGATATTGAATTCTACAAAGCTAGAGTGGAGGTACATTAAGGAAAAAAAAAAGTACCAAATAACCATAATTTTTTGTTTGCTGTGGCTTTTTCAAAGTTATTTTGATGACTTAAAATACTGGAACATGAAAACAGTGTATAGCTTTTTGCTCTGGGATATATGCTAGTCAGAAATTCGTGATAAATTACAGTTTTTAGGTAAGAGTCCCTGTGTCTAATGGCATACATTTTCATTTGAAGTCAGCAGTGCTCACCATAGCTCTAAATTAACAAGATCAGTAGGAGCCTCTGTTTAGGAGGTATACTATGTATGGAGAAACCCAAGGAGGATTTAGTTAAAAATATGCTGTAAATGTAATAATTTCTTTCTCCTCTTGTGGGTCTACTAAGAAAAGGTAATTTTCTAAGTAAAGTGTTGAGCAAATAGTGGCTATACACACAAATGAGTATGGGATGACAGCATTCCCTGGATAAAGTATACTAAAAGAAGATGCACTGATACCAGGCAAGAGAGACTTACAGTTCTGTCATGAATTAGAAATTTAGGAAACAAATCAACATGCAGGATTTTATTAGGCCATCATTCTGTCTGTAAATGGCAAATTTGTTGGGCAAATGCCAAGGTGGCAGAATTTATGAAGGAAACAATTACTTGTGGGAGTCAAAACCAATGAAAGTTTAAAGACTTTTTAAGTCTTTAAGATGGTCATTTTAAAAAAAAAAAAAAAAAAGACTCCTGGAAAAGCAGAGAGAACCCAAAATGAATGTTTGTTGGAAAAAATACTACGTTGCCTGGACGTAGTTGTTGAGATAATGCTATGAAGCCCTTGCTTCAGGGTGGAAATGACCAAAAAGCAAAACCAAGATCTTAGGCTAAACTATGGCACAGAATATTTTTACATAACTTCATTTAATGTGGCTTTTGGATTCACAGGCCTGCACAGTATTTTTTATGTACCCATACCACTCCAAATGAATGCTTGGCATTAATTGGTGCTTTAAGACCTGAGTGATGAAGTGTCTACAGCCTTTAGTTAGCAGCCTTTTTCTTCTCTGAAGACTGTGACATGTCACATGTCTAGCTCTTCTAGCTCTTTGTGCTCTGCAGTCCCACAGCATTCTGCCTTACAAGATGTTTTTTCTGTTCTCTGGGTTCTGTCTTAATTGATACCTTTCTTAAAATTGAGTCCCTAAAACTGGATCTTATATAATTATGAATTTACTTGTTCTGAATGCAGTGGAAAGATAACTTTTCTGTACACCTTCTAATATAGTAACTCATAAGCAACATCTCAATGTTGTGATTTATGGTAATGTCCAGAATTTCTTCTCTCTGAACTGCTGCCCAGACTTGATAGAATATCCCCGGTATTCTACTTCAGATTCTGTCGCATCTGAAAAATGTCATAATACTAATGATCAATGATAGAGCATCCTCTGGAAAGAGACTTCTTTCTTTTTTTGTTTCGAAGTTAAAAACTTCAGTGAACGTATACTTCGTATGTCACACCATAAAATAGCTACTACTGATAAAAGCTACTGTTGATGAGAGGGGAAAACTGCAACCCAATCTTTTTAATGTTCAATTGTATATCCTTCATCCAAAACTTCTAATAATAGCTTTAGTCAAAAATAAAGTATATCAACTGACATGGGAGTCATTAACTTAATGGAAAATGAGATGGATAGTTTTTCCAAGCGAACTGCAGTGTAAAAAAAGTTAACAATAGACTGTAGTGAGAGAGAAGGTGCAAGGTGCAGATTAAAACATTGTTAAAAGGATTTTAGACATTTCTAAAATTTAAAAAAAGTCATGGTTCCCAAGACTTTCTCTTTAAGATTACTTGTTCTTAGTCTTGCTCGTGGAAACTAATTTTATCATCTCACTGTGTAACATGAAATAACCTGATAAAATTTGGAGAAACTTCCTCAAGATACACTAAATACAGACCTTAACAGCTGTTCTTGAGGAGGCTCCAAAGCTGCCTTTGCATACCACTCAAAAACAAAGGCTGGTAGCTACTTTCCAACTCTGGATCTTTTCTCAGTGTTTAACATATTTTAAGCAAGACGTTGCAGTTCAACTTGATCTCAGTGATAGAGGTCCAGTGCTGTGATCTACGCTCTCAAATTTCCTCAAAGTTGTTGGTTGTTACCTACATATGATGTAATTGGTTAGCATACATGGATCTGTTGGAAAAGGTACTGTGAGTGGTGAGCATTATCATCAGCCTCCCTGTGTATGAGCAAACCTTTCCATGTGAGCTTTTGGAAAATCACTTTGTAAACTGCCTGTATCTACTACTGTTGTAAGGGGGACTGAAAGCGTATAGTTAAAAAGGAAAAGGGTATAGGAAAAGAGATTACTGTACAGGATTTGGAAAGAGTGGAAATTCTTTTTCATAGAATGCTTAAACTAGTAAAAACCTAAAATTTGGTCACATGTTTCTTAGCTTGTAAACTATCTGATTTTTCAACCATGCTTGAATAGAGACAGATGTTAATTAATTGGTTTTGCTTAATAATAATTAATAATAATAATTATAAGTTAATATTTGTTTAGGGAGGAGTGTGAAGGAGACATATTTGTTACATTCACTGATCTCAGATTTTGCAGCTGACTGCATGCTGAAGTTTGAGAAGTTTTGTCTTTGTATCATGAGTAAAATTTCCAATTATATGTTTTTACACATTATTATTTTTATCAGATGCCATTAAAAAAAAAATCCTGTAGGTACATAAATTAAAGCTGTTGAGGACCTTTGAATATGGCTGGTTTTATTTTAAGAATGCAGTTGCATTTTCAGCATCATGACCCGATTTTGGGCTTAAGTTTGCCCAACGGCCTGTATACCTAATTATGGCCTGTAGAAAATTTATTCTTTTAAGTTTTGTTCTACGTTTCCTGCAACACAAAGATGAGGGAGTTCAATCTGATGCTAAGATAAATTATAGACTGAAAGGAGCACTACATCTGTCTCCAGTCTTTGACAGTGGCCAAGAATAGATGCTTAGAGGAGAGTAAAAGAACAGGGGAAGCACTTGGTGATACTTTCCTGTTGTGCCCTCCCAGCCTCCAGCAGTCTCTGCTCGGGAAACATACTCCTGAGGTGGTACTTTTTCGCCTTCTCTTGCATGAATTAGATGACTTCTCACACGTGTAAGCCTTTTCATCTACACAACCATGTAGCAATAAGCTCCACCATTCAATTACATGGTGTGTGATCTACTTTTTTGCCACCTGCAATTTTTATTTGATGTCAGCCTTTTGCTTAGCTGTAGTCCGTATATGTGCAATGCATCTTTCCAGGTCACATCTCAGATCCATGGTTTGATTGTGATTATGAACACCTTATTTATTTTTAATGGTTTAAGGACTATTTAATTTCTCTGAAGTTATGTTAAATTTTCTTTTCATAAAAATTTCTTAAGTTGCAGTTATGTGAAATTGCTGTAGTGGGTTTTTTTTTTTTTAATAAAAAGTCTGTTACAGTTTCCAAATCAATGTTTTGGCTTTAGAGCAATGTTTCTAAAACTAGTTGTGATGTATATCAATATTTCTATGAATAAGGAAATACTGTTATGAGGTTTTTTCTTGCTTAATTCTTGCAGGAGTTAAAGGAAGACAATCAAGTGTTGCTAGAAACAAAGACAATGTTGGAGGATCAATTAGAGGGGACCCGAGCCCGTTCTGATAAATTACATGAGTTAGAAAAAGAGAATCTACAATTAAAAGCTAAATTACATGATATGGAGATGGTAAGTGTAAATGGAGGATGACAAAGACAACTGATATGCGTTGAATTTCATTTCCATTTTTAATAAAAGAACTTGCAGTCAAAATAGTGGGGTGGAGGAGGAAGGTATGTCTTGATTTACTAACACTTTTCAGATACAGTTTCCTACAGTAGCTTTGGTTCTGCTTAGGGAAGGAAAAATTGCGAAGGCAAGTACTCTTCCTAAAGGCAGTACAGCGTTTAATTGGATAGCTAAAATACAATGATAAGAAATACAGAGGCTCATTAGTAGGAATGATAGGATCTTTTTATTTTTATGTGAAGATAGTCTGTTGTCGCTTAAATACTTAGATAAAAGAGGTTATTCATATTTCAAATTCTGGTGATAGTGACATATTTATCAGAAGGTTATTCCCAAAACAATTTTTGTTTTTAGGCAGTTCTTCTCCAAAAAGTAAATATTCTAAAATACAAAGTCGTAATTTGCCTAGGTGGGTTTTTTGTTTCTTTTCTGTAAGGGGTGACAGATTATTACCTTCTGGTTACTTTCATTTGCTGCAAAATGTGGAGAGTTGCAGCTGCATCTTATTCATGTTAAAGTAGCACGTGTGGGAAGAGGGGTTTATAAAGAGACAGGTGAGACTCTCTCATCATGGGCCCAGTCCTGTAACAGCTTTTTGCATCAAAGTAGTCATGGTAGTTCAGAGAAGATGAAATTTTGCTTCTCTGTCCATTTGTTTTCTGAGTGTGCTACCAAGCTGTGCTTATCCTGTATAGTTTCTTTCCTGATGTTCTGAGATGTGAACTTTGAAAAAGAGTAAGTAGTCATTGCCATAGGTTATGATGCAAAGAGGTTCTCTGTGTACTTTTTTCTTTACTGGTTGTTTCTCTTCTAAGTTCTCCGTAATTTTGTCTATTCCTCCCTGTCTCACTGTGGACTAGCAAATCAGAAAATGCACTTTGTATTTCGCTGTGGCACACTAGAGACAAATACTTTGTGCATGTTCAGATGCATTTTTTTTTTTTTAAGTTATTTGTGAAATAATTTTTAAGGAGCGTGATATGGACAGAAAGAAGATTGAGGAACTCATGGAAGAAAATATGACTCTAGAAATGGCTCAGAAACAAAGTATGGATGAATCGTTGCATCTTGGCTGGGAGCTTGAACAGATAAATAGAACTACTGAACTTTCTGAAGGTAAACATAGTAATACTTGAACACTGATGAAATAAAAAATTGAAGTCTCAGAGACTTCACAGGATTAGGAAATTACAGGTCCTTATTTTAAAGTACAGAGATTTTGTTCTCTGGAGAGTTGTGACAGTTTGGGGGTTATTTTTTGTTTCCTTTTGTTGTGGTTAGTTTGGGGGTTGGTTTGGTGTTGTTTTGGTTTTTTTTACTCAATCCCATGTATCCTTGGAGATACCACCTACAGGAAAAGTCTCTGTTCTTGTGATTGTTGTTCAGTTAAAGGGGTGTAAACCCCATAAATAACTTGGAGTTACATTGTGTTGCCATTCAGACTGGTATACTCTGTAGCAGAGATCATGAGTCTTCTTGCTTTACTCAAAGTAAAGAAAATTGCACAAGATTTGTTAGAGCTTCTCACAGTAATTGTTTGCAGAGGTAGCTGTGGCAAAAATTTCAGTTCTTCCAATGTAGCATGCTTGGTTGTACACTGGGTCCTGTACAAAGGATTTGTGGAAATTTAGAGATACATCCTCAGTTGCAGGAAACAAATCTCTGCTGTGACTAGGAACTGTAGGATGAGTGAAACATTTCCTTTTATGCATCTGTAGTGCTTATCCGTTGGGTAAGGAGGATGGGTCATTAATCCTAACTAGCTCTATTCACCAAGAAGGCGTTGGAGGACAGTCAAAGGCTTCTAAATCCCTTAAGTCCTAGAACTTCAGGTAATAAGTAACCTTTTTTTTAATGGTGTTTTTCTCTTACAGTGCCACAGAAATCACTTGGTCATGAAGTAAATGAACTGACATCAAGCAGATTACTGAAGTTAGAAATGGAAAACCAAAGTTTGCTGAAGACAGTGGAAGAACTACAAAGTACAATGGGTTCTGTAGAAGGCAGTAATTCAAGGATGCTGAAAGTGGAAAAAGAAAACCAAAGACTTACCAAAAAGGTAATCATTAGTGTATGTTTGACTTGTGTATGAATTGCCTAACGTTGGTTGCCATTTTCTTTCTAAAGAGTAATTTTATGAGTTGCTGTTATTTTGGGTAAAGTATTACTAGGGTCTAAATGGTGTTATGGTGTTTGTGAGTTTATGGTAAAAACCAAAACCACCTCAGAGAGGTTTTTCTCTTTTAGTTATGCTTTTTTATTGATGTAAGAATGTGACTATTTTATTCAGAAAGGTCTTATACCAGTGAGGTGAAAAATATTAACATATTGGGGACGTAATGAGTAATAAAAGTGTTTTATGATACTTGAGAACATTGTTTTAATTTTTGTGATTATTGTGCAGGGGAAGGTATGTGTACGTAAGTGAAGACTGACTGATAAGTCTAAGCAAAAAACTCAGTCATGTGTCCTCATTCATAACTGAGAAAGAGAGAAGATGGGCCAAGGAGTTGATGAGCAAGTGAATGAGAGGAGGTTGTCAGATTTGTCTGTGGTGATCTACAATATTTTGCTCTCCAAATTTTGTATACCAAATAGACTAATCTAGTCAGTGATATTTATAGGAAATAAAAATTGGAAAAAAACAGGGACTAATTACAGTGGAGTGAAATGTCTAAAGTTTCTGAAATAGCTTTTACTTCGGCAGATATTTCAGATGTTAAGCTATTCTTAGAGAAGAGTGGGTAAGAGATTGCTTAAAAAAAATAAATTGGAAGAAGTCCCTAATGTATTCCATGCTTCCATGCTTTTTCTGATTTCTTAACAATATGGTATTTTTTGCAGCAGCCTGTGTGCTGCTTTGAGTTTCTGTACAGTACCAGAAAGACAGCTGGGAGGGTACAAAAGAAAGGAATAGGTATAAGAAGCAAGCAATAGTAGGTCCTTGTGGTTGCTGATACTGTTCTTACCATTTTGAATGTCTGGTGACATGTCCTTTTTCTCACTTGCCCCTAAAAACAATGTTCTGAACAATGTTTGCCTCAGCAAAAAGCATGAAGTTGAACAAAATGTTTGTTATGAATCCTATATACATAGTCTGCTTCTTTCTGGACACACTTTCTCTTAAAACAAACCACTAATATAGAGTCTTATGAGATAACAGTGGCCATGGGAACTCCACTCTCAGTGCCCAGTTGGCAGTTGGGCAGGTGATGGGTAAGTTTGGTTCCCAGACGGAGGCTGACTGCATCCCTGCTGGAGTGATTGAGCCAGTTACTTCTCCTTTGCAAAACCCAATGAACGTGCCAATATCCCTGTAAAACATGAGTTGGTCTGCTAAGCAAGGGACCAGAAAAATCTGAATCTGGAAGGGAGAGGGAAGCAAAAGACTAGTCAAATGTTAGTATTCTCATCCTAAGAGAAAGATTTTATCCCGGTTCCAGCCTAATTGATGCCATGCTTTTTGCCTATTTCTGATGAACAAATTGCTTCACAGAGGAACAAGTTCCATTCTGCTACAGTCTTGTGATTTTTACTTCTCAGTATTATTTAGCAGCAATTTAATGTATAATTCAGATAATTTGTTTCTAAAACTGTTCCCCCTGTCTGGGTCTGAGTTATGTCTGGACTCTTCTAGGATTGTGTAATGTGGACATGGACTTGACATAGAATATAAATCTTCCAGCAGATGATTGTTTAAAAAGAAAATGTATATCTTGCTTCTAAGTAACTAATTAAAACTTCCACGTGACAGAAAAATCACACTTTGTTATTTTAGCTTTTAAACAGTTTTGCTGTATGGCAACATTGCAAGTTGGAACAGTTTGACGAAACAAAACTGTATATTTAATTCCCAAGGAATCATCATAAGTATCTCTTGAAATAGTTAAGTAAAATCAAACAACATTCAACCCTTACATGTTAAAAGGGGTTTGGAGAAGCAGTATAAATCTCACTAAGGTGGAATTTTAAAGAGGGAAAAAAAGGTGCTTGGGGAAATATCCAGAGCCTAATAAAATCTGACCTTTTTTTATTTTAATGCAAAAGTATTTTATAGACACAGTCTTCTAAGCCAGGGATAAAATTCTGGTAGAAGTAAATTTATTCCTAGAAGGGATGAATTGTTCCAGATGAAGAATAGAAAATTCCATTTTATTCTTTCCTTTAACCATCTTTAATCATTTCTATAAGGGTACCTTCAGTCCACCTAAGAGTAATACTATTGTCATTTTTAAGTACACTTTAAAAAATATGTTTCTTTTTCCCCTAGCTTGAAGAGCTAGAGAATGAAGTTAGCCAAGAAAAACAAAGTCTTCAGAACAGTCAAAATCTGAGTAAAGATTTGATGAAAGAAAAAGCACAGCTTGAAAAGACACTTGAAGCACTTCGAGAAAACTCAGAGCGACAAGTGAGTAGCAGAATCAAAAGTCTTAATGCTGCATTGTACTATACTGTTCTCCTTTTGTACACACATGAAGGGATTGTAAATGTAGCAGATTTGCCAAAAAGACATATCTGCAGCAGAATAGCTTGTCTAAGAGCTGCAGCCAGTGAGAGGCATGACTCATTTTTAGCTGAGGCTTTACTGTTTAGTTTTAGAACTTTTTAGTGTTTTGTAATGCTTGTGTGTCTTTCATGGGCTATGTATTTGCTGTAGTTGCTTAGAGGGTGTAGCTCAGCCAAAATAGAAAATTGGGAACTTTGGAGGTAAGCCAGACACCTCTCAATGGAGGAAAACAGGTTCCAGACAGCTGGTTGGTGTTTGAAGTAATGTCGGAGTATTAATGAGAATTACAGGAGTCTGTCCCTCGAAGGGACCTGACAGAGAACAGTGTAGCAGAGCTGGTCTGCTGCTCTGCTGCTGACTCTGTTCCTCCTGTGTTGCTCACAGTCTTATCTGGGGTAGGAACCATCATGTCCAGCTTCGTAATATTCCCGTATACTAGAATGTATTCTAGCTGTGGCTTGTAGGTGAATAGCAGAGGGGTTTTTTGGTTGCCAGAAACTGGCTTCTGGGTCTTTGTAAAAGATTTGAGCTGTATTTGGGAGGGTACTGAATGTCATTGATGTATCGAATGACACCTTCTTAAGGTCTTTGCAGAGCAATTTAGAGGACTTGTGGAAGGCAGCCACTAGGAAACCAGTTATGGAAAGTTCTGGAAATCCCATCTTTAACAGTCAAGTCCTTCAGAATTAGAAGTGTAGTTATCTTTTATAAATTCCACTCATACTTCTTGATGAGATTAACATTTTTCAGTTTAATTTAAAAGTACACTATTTTGGAATACAGAGTATTGTATTTCAAACATCCTGAAAAATTTTAAAGACCCAATTTAATCAGTAAATACAAATTCCAGACTTAGAAAAGAAAGAAAAAAAAACCAACAAACCAAAACCCACCAAAAAACGCTTGGCACTGAAGCTGTACTTTCATTTAAAGAGAACAATGGGGATAATTTTAAAGAAAATATGCCAGCTTGTCTTGTTTAGAAGTGTTAGTTGTTACAATAATTGCTTTATACATTGTATTAGAAATGTACTCTAGGGGAAAAAAGGACTACAACTTTCTGGAATAAGTCATAAATCCAATTCAACCATCAAGGATACGTATGGCGTTTTAAACGTGTTGGAGTAGGACTGACATTTCACTGGGACTATTTCTGCTTAAAAATAGTATACGTAAGAGCTGTGATAGGTCAGCAGCATCTTTCAGGTCTTTTACAAATCCTGTGCTGATACTTGTTGCAGGAGAATGTACAAGGTTCATTTGATATCATCAAAAATTATGGAGGCATTGACCATGATTTTTTGTTAAGTTTGGATTATAGAAGCAGAATTCATGAATAGTACTTATGCACGTTCAGTATCATACCAGGCTATGTAAAGAAATGTTATAAAGTTGTGGTTTTAGACACCTGTTAATTAGTTTCTCATTAATAGTTTTGGAACAGTTTGTCATTGGTGGGAACAGAGCCGTAGATCCTAATTATTAGTTACATTCAGACGTAAATATGAAAGAACGGTCTATAATTTTCTCAGTCTGCTTTTTCATTGCAACTAGCAGTTTTGCTTTTCTCCAAAACAGTTTATTGTTGAAACATCCCTTACACTATGTTATTAGTGTATTCTTAAATATTGAGCTAAACAGTTTTCTGCATTTTGCTGTCTGTCGTTACATACCCAAATAATTTCAAATTATATGGAGTAACTGAAAAAGTCAAGAAATACTAAAAATTAAGATATAAATGCTGCCTTTATTTTTGAAGTAGATCTGGGAATATGTTACCTAAGAAAATAGTTCAGTTCTAATAGGATTTACTTTCTCTGGAAGGTGTTTTTGGAACAGCGTGTCCAAGGGTTCTTTTTAACTCAAAAACTAATGGAACTTTGTGTTTCTTCCCAAAATGTTACTGACTGTGATCAGGATGCCCTCATATCCCACATACCACCTCTGTTTTTTCCAAGTGAAAATAAGACAGTTCTGCTACTCCCACACCTCCCTTCATCTCAAGTTCAGTTTAGAACTTAAATGGAGTTTCGTTCTTTGTGGACACATATCTGTGGAAATTACAGAGGTTAAGAAAAATAATCTGAGTCTGGATAGACGCAAATGAAAACGAAATGATGCTCAGAAATAGACACAGATTTATTTTGGTTTGTGCTTGTTAGTTTTATTTTTATGTTATCAGTTCATATATGGAAGTAATTTCTTGTTGGTATGTTGCTCACCAGTTTACAATTTTTCTACCCAAATTAGATAAAGCTATTAGAACAAGAAAATGAACATTTAAATCAAACTGTAGCTTCTCTAAGACAACGCTCACAAATCAGTGCTGAAGCAAGAATGAAAGAAATTGAAAAAGAAAATAAAATCCTTCATGAGTCTATTAAAGAGACAAGCAGTAAGTTAAATAAGATTGAGTTTGAGAAAAAACAAGTCAGGAAAGAACTGGAACACTACAAAGAGAAAGGAGAGAGAGCAGAAGAACTTGAGAATGAACTGCATCATCTGGAGAAGGAAAATGAATTATTACAGAAAAAAATTACTAACTTAAAAATTACTTGTGAGAAGATAGAGGCCTTAGAACAAGAAAACTCAGACCTGGAAATGGAAAACAGAAAACTCAAAAAAACTTTGGATAGCCTAAAAAATCTGACTTTTCAATTAGAATCCTTAGAAAAGGAGAATTCACAACTTGATGAAGAAAACTTAGAATTAAGAAGAACGATTGAATCCTTGAAGTGTACAAGCATTAAAGTAGCACAGTTACAATTAGAAAATAAGGAATTGGAGAGTGAAAAGGAACAACTTAAAAAAAGCCTTGAACTCATGAAAGCCTCATTTAAGAAAACTGAACGCTTGGAAGTCAGCTACCAAGGCCTAGACACAGAAAACCAAAGGTTACAGAAAGCTCTTGAAAACAGCAATAAGAAGATTCAGCAATTAGAAAGTGAATTACAAGATTTAGAGTCTGAAAATCAGACTCTGCAAAAGAACTTAGAAGAGTTAAAAATCTCTAGTAAGCGCCTAGAGCAATTGGAAAAGGAGAATAAGCTGTTAGAACAAGAGACTTCTCAGCTGGAAAAAGATAAGAAACAGCTAGAAAAAGAAAATAAAAGGCTTCGACAACAAGCAGAAATTAAAGATAGTACTTTAGAAGAAAACAATGTAAAAATTAGTAATCTGGAAAAGGAAAATAAATCTCTATTTAAAGAAATAGTTGTATATAAAGAGTCATGTGTACGCCTGAAAGAACTAGAAAAAGAAAATAAAGAACTTGTGAAAAGAGCTACCATTGATAAGAAAACCCTTGTCACTTTACGAGAGGTAAACAGAAATAAGTTACCATTCCTGTCATAATCTGTTTGTAATGTAGAGACAATATATTTGTATTTTTGAAAAACGTTTGTATTCTGTATTTTTTGTGCTTTAATCTGTATACTGTCAGCATCTTTAATGGTTACAGTAGGAAAAGCGTTAGTTAATCAAAATTTGTAGAATCATAATAATCAAATGGAATAATATAGCCGTATTATACTTAATTGTGTAAGGTTGCTTACAAACTGTCATGGAGCCTTTGTTAAATGAACATTGTTCAGATTCCTCATGTTAATATTCATTCTGGCTGAAACATTTCCCTTCACTGTAATGTTCCAGACCAGACATGAAAGGGAAGTTCTACAGAAAGGAAGGGAGTAAACTAGTGAAATCATATTATAGGTAAAAATGTAATATCTGGTATAGCTGAAAGCTAACAATTGGAAGGAAAGGAGAGGTAGCATTGAGTTATTCAAGTCATCTAGTGATAAAAAACTCTTACCTCGGCACTGCTAGAATTAAGACTATGTTATTTTATTTATATAATACTGACTGTGATTTTTTTGTGTGTAAGGACTTGGTGAATGAAAAATTGAAGACCCAACAAATGAACAATGATCTAGAAAAACTTGCCCACGAACTTGAAAAAATAGGCTTAAACAAGGAGCGTCTGTTGCATGATGAACAGAGCAGTGATGACAGGTGAGAATGTCAAGGCCTACCTGGAACAATGCAGACATGAGGGTCTTTTTATTCATAAAGATCAAGTGATTTTACAGACTGTCTTTGTGCATACTCTTAGATTTTTAAGGCTCACTAATAGACCCGAAATGGAACTTGCTATTCTTTGCAGTTAATGAGGTAGTTGATGTGCTTTTACATTCAGCTGTTTGTGAAAGTGAGATACCACTTTCCATTACTAAGAAGTTTCTTGAAGTATGTCAGTAGATACAGGTAACATATAATTAAAACGTTTTTATGTTCTAGTTAGCACCAGGAACAGCAGCAGTAAAAGATAATAGGCCCAAAGTGTTGAGGTTTTTCTTCGACTCCTTGACTGATAGGAATCTTTCTACACTTTTGCACATAATGGTTACCTTAAACTGTCTTTCCTTACAAATCATTTCCTTCTAATTCTTCCTACTAAAAGGAAGCTGTTTGCATTCCCACTTACACAGGCTGGGAAGTATCCAGCACTTGAGCGTCTCCAAAACTTTGTACTGGCTCTGCCACCCTACCACACCTGCCATTATAAAGCAGCTGCTATCCTGACATCTGTTTCCTCTGCTGTATGTTGTGTTCTGTCTTTTCCTGCAGGGATTTAGGGAAAATTTGTGACAGGAGAACAGCAGACTACTGTGGGCTTCTAGCCAATTTTTAATTCATGATGCTATTCAGTTGTGCGCTGTAAAGAAAAAAAAAAAAGCTGCTGTCATGATCTGTTACTACAACTGGTTGTCGCGAACATATAGATTGATTTTTGAGCCTTCTATATCAAAAGAAAAACAAGCAATATTTTTTTTTCCTCTTCAGTTTCCCTTTCTTGTTGCCATACTGTTACTGGGGTGATGCCAGAATCCTGTAGGGAGGTTCTGTTACCACCTGTTTTCTGTTATTGTCTTTCATCTACCTTTCTCAGCTCGCAGATGAGTTCTGTCAAGAAGAGTCCTCTGAACTTTGGCTAGTGTGATTTCTTCTGATTTAAGCATTACTGTGTAGCATACAGTGCATAATAGGCGTTTGATTTGTCCTTAGGTGAATAGACCATACAAAGAACCACCAATCCTTGAGCTGAATTGAAGCTTAAACTGCTTAGATGAAGAAGTCTGGATTGAGCAATGTTTTTCTAAATCACGTTCTAGATTCCAAGTGGTTGCAGTGAGCTCTTCTGCAAAAGGGAGAGACTATTGTTCTGTGAAGATGCTTTTGCAAATTATACTGTATGAAAAGATTTATGAGTCTGTTTCTACTTTCCAGACAATGGCACTTGCCCTTTACAAGTGCTCGTACTTCTACAGGTCAGATGTTGTTGGTTCACTTCTCATAAGTTATTTGGTTTTTGTGACACTATATGAGTTATGACATTGGGCTATACAATGCTAGTGTTTCCTTTGCATTTTACAGAATGATACTATAATGGACCTATAAATTATAATTTGGAAGAAAATTTGGAGTTACATGTCTCCATGGAATGAGGATTTTTATCCAGCTTCCATTAAATTGTAATCTGTAAATGAACTTCTGACATACTTCTGCACCTATCATGACCTGTTTCATTTCTTCCTTTGCTTCCCGGTTAGCTGTGTGTGGGAATTACACAAATAAGTAACTTTCTTTTCATTCCCCTCACCTTCCCTTAGTGCTGTTCTAAGGGGTATACCTTTTTCAAGGAATCAGTGCATTTTTTTTGCTATGTATGTATTATATATTAAGAGCACACCCCAGAGAGCAGGCTTAAGCATTTAATACTGGTTGACCTGCACTTGGCACATGTATACTGCTGGCCTTGGATCTCTTGTAATTTGGTGCTGCTCAGCTGCACTGTCATAGGAACAGCTCATGCTTAATTCTTTGCAGATTGCCTTGCAGTGGGAGATAATGCCTGTCGAGAAAGGTGTTCATGGCAAACTTGATTGTCCAACACTGACCATGTGAAAGCACCACAAAAGCAGATGGGAATATTTAATGGTACAAGATATTTGGATATCAGGCCAGGTATGATGTGCCTATTCAGGCTGATCTGCAGGGAGTGTGCAGTAAGCATTATATCTTGAAGCTTAACCAGAACATTACCTAAAGCCTACATCTGAGCTCAGGCTTGTGGCCAAATATTTTTAGATGTGAAGGAATTTGGGCTATGCTACTGTTTTGAGCTTCTTCTCAAACTTCATGTAGAGCTGGAGGATTGTGAATGGGCAATATTTGTTCAAAGTGGAAACTTTTGGTTGATTTGAAATTTTGCTCTGCCACTAATTCTGCCTTTCTGTTATTCTCAACTTTTTCGTTCACCCAAAAGGTACTTGCATTGCTTTCCTTGTATTATTATGTAGAATAGGTATTAGCAATTATTTCATCAGGCCTGTAGAAAGCTAGGTTCATTATAGCTAAAATTACTTCTTGGTGTATTTTTGGTCTGCTTCTCCCATTTTGATGACAGAAATTAAAAATGCACACTTTTTCTCTCCCTGATTGGAGAGAGCTGCTTGTGGTTTTTGTTGAACGTTCTTGGTAGCACTTCAGAGTCTTTCTCTTGGGGCCTAAGCTGACCATGTTTGAGTTAACTTTGAAGTGTTTTCCATTTTCTCTTGCCTTTCAAATGGCTGTTGTCTTTAGACAAACAGATTTCTGGGTTTTGACCCTGAATCTGAAATACTCAGATCTCAATGATATTAGAAAATTTGTGCCATCTTTCATTGTTAGGTGTTCAAAAGGAAAACGGATATTGGGTCTCTGCTATTAGTCCTTTTCCTTCTTTGTTTTCTGCATAGTTGTATAACTTTTCAGTAACAGAAATTCTTATATGTAGCTGAATATATGCTTCAGCTCAAGAAGATGAAATACTATCTATTCCACTACTCATAGAGTTCCTACTGTTTCTTAAGTCCCTGAGAATTACTTGTCATACCTTAAAATCTACAATTCTCATCCTACTACATGATGCTACTGGACAGCTTTCTACTTATTAATTCTCTTACCATTGATCTTCTGCTCCAGTTCCTGACTACGTCTAATGCTGTTGTCCATTCGGGAGTCTCTTGCAATCTATTCTGTTCACTAAACTGATAGGTTCCTCAGCAGTCAAGATTAAAAAGGGGGATATTAGTGGTTTGTTTTATTTTTATCCTACTGTGGGGAGAAGTGGGATGTTTTCCAGATTCTGAGCGCTCGCACAGTGACTGAACTGCTTAGAAGTGATTAATGAATGTGTTTTTTCAGTATTTTCTAAAAAGGAGGTACTGTTCTAAACCAATATATTCTAAATCTGACCACTTCTCTCCCTAATATGTAGTTTTGGTTTTTTACATGTCCTACAATATTGTAAATATGGTAAAAAATTGAAGCTTTACACTTCAGGAGTGGTGACAGTCTTAAAATATCAGCAGCTGGGCTGAGTGAGCAATTTGCACATTCATACATCAAATGAGTATGCACCTGCAAAGTGCTGTGTTTGTCTCCTTCCCTAGTGCCTCCTCTTTGTGAGCTGGCAGGAAATGGAAATTGATGAAAATCTTGCTCTCCAAATACTTCACATTCTAATTTAGTTCAGGTCCCTGCTGGATTCACTGGAGTGGGGCCAGAAGGATGAGTGCTGTCATCACACACACGCTGATGATCCAAATAAAGCCAGCACCCTACTGGTGTGGCTGAATGTGGGTTTTTGTATGTCTAATGTGTTTTAAAAGAAAGGATTCAAAAATGTTTTTGACTACCATCTTCTGTTCGTTTTAGACATAGGACTTGATATTAATACGGAGGTGTCTTCCTGCTTTTGAGTAGAGTCAGCATTCAAGCATTTTTGAATGTAGCTATGAGGCTACTGTTTCAGAACATTTTACAATTAAATACCTCAAATAATTTTTTGAAGTACAGACTTTTTTGTATGTGATGTCATTGACCAGTAGGTACAAGCTTTTGGAGTCAAAATTAGAATCCACACTTAAGAAGTCTCTCGAAATAAAAGAAGAAAAAATTGCTGCTCTGGAGGCTCGTTTAGAAGAATCAACAAATTTAAACCAGCAGCTCCGTCAGGAACTTAAAACAGTAAGGAGAACGACATTTTTTCCGATAAGATTAAATTACTCGTGTACATGCTATTGTTATTTCTACACTTGACCTTTTGTGTAAGACTGCAAAAGATGGGCATTATTCGGGTACTACAGGACAAAGGTATGACTGCTTTTTAAGACTGCAATAATACAGGCCCACTGTTGAACTCATCTGAAAGGTTGTTGATTTTTTTCATTGGTCATTGAATATGTCAGGTGGATAAATAATCTGAAGTTGATTTGATTTGGAATGCCAAAAGTAGTCATTTTCAGTTACGTTTTCTGATCCATCTTGGACAGCCTGAGTGGATTGGTTAAAACAATAAATATAATCTCTTTTTAATTATTTGGTTGTAGGACTTCATAATAAAAGTTGGGGGATACAGTTGAAAGCGCTGAAATAAAATAGAAAATAGAAGTCTCTCTCTGTTAGACAAGTGCTTGTTAGCGTTAAGCTATCCATATCCATAAATAATTTGTACACCATCTCTGCAAACATACACAAAAAGCAAATTTACAAATACAGTAACATAGCACTTTCTGTTCTTTGAAAAGTGGTATGGTCATGTAATAAATTAGGATGTAGAAAATGAAAAGTTCTAAACCTAATGTAAGCTGTCCTAATTTCAGGTGAAAAAGAACTATGAAGCTCTCAAACAAAGACAAGAGGAGGAAAGGATGGTTCAGAATTCTCCTCCAAGAAGTGGAGAAGAAAATCAATCTGTCAATAAGTGGGAGAAAGAAAATCAGGAAACTACTAGAGAATTATTGAAAGTTAAAGATAGATTAATCGAAGTGGAAAGGAATGTAAGATGTGTTTCAAATATTATTTGGATTTTAATTATTTGTTGTGAGCTGTTCCACTAATACGAATAAGAGTATTGTTAAGAAAGTAAGCAATTTATCACCTAGTTTTCGTACCAAGCAGAATCTGAATTAAATATAATTTGTGAAGCAGCTGGATTCTGCTCTTGAAGGGTGCTGTAAAGCACTTGACCAGCATTTAAAAGAAAATGTGGAAACCTGAGTTTGCTCTTTTGAATCCACAGATATCTCTTAAGTCCCTCTTACATAGTCTTTACTGACATAAGTCATGGAGATTTCTGTACTGTTGCTCTACAGGTACAATATTACCTATTTTTTCAGTCTTAACCTGTAGTGATAATATCACTGTGTTACTTTGTATATAAGGTGATTTACAGTTTTATTGCACCCTGTAAATCTCTGCAAAGTCATGCTGCTTTGTTTGTTTTGGAGAAGCAAGGGTTTTTTTCTTGATGTTCAGTAAACAGCTGTGAACTCCATTTTCTATTTTTTTTTAAACATTCAAAGAATGCTACACTTCAGGCAGAGAAGCAAGCACTGAAGACACAATTAAAGCAACTTGAGACACAGAATAGCAATTTGCAGGCTCAAATTCTTGCACTTCAGAGACAGACTGTTTCTCTACAGGAACAAAATACAACTCTACAAACTCAAAATGCCAAGCTGCAGGTAATATTTTCCTATCTTGCTTTCAAAAATAAAATTAATTCAAAGCTTTTGCAACTGAAAGCTTTAAAGCTGATGGCAATAATGTGTTGTAAGTCATGTTTCGCTTCTAGTATAGATATGGAAAAGAAAAAATATGCAAATAATCTGCACTAAGAGCAGTCAAATAATATTTTGTTTGCTGATTAATATTGACATTTCTAGAAGTTGTTTTTAATCCTTCATGTTTGTCCAATTTAAATTCTTGACTTTTATACTTAGGAGTAGCGTAGATTCTCATATCCAGTCTTCTAAGGTAATATTTTCTTTTTTACTTCTAAATTAGGTCAGGGAAATAGTGTGTCCAAAGAAACTCTAATAAATTTAGTGGTTTGTCTATTTTTATAAAGAGAATTTAAAAAAAAAAAAAAAGTAAAAGCCATACCTAAGAGGAACATCAAAATGCTAGTAAGTACAGAAGAGTTGGAGGAAAAAAAGAAAACAAACAAACAAACAAACAAAAAACCAAACAAAAAACCACTTTGAAAATTACATAAATATGTAAAGATTAGCTTCAGATAATTCAGAGGCAAAAAAGGTAACATGTGACCATCGAAATTATAAAAATGGTTGCCCACAGAGTCTTGCAGCTTTTATGCCAAAACTCAGATGTCGTTCTTTGCACTTTAGCAGGGTTATTAAACACATCTTTCTTTTTTTCCTCTCTGATAAATGAAATATTCTTGTTAATGGATCTTACACTTTTTGGAGCTCTAAGAATCCAAATTACTTAAAGAGGAAATACAAACCCACAATTCAGCAGAAATAATAAACAGTATTAAAGATGATGGAGGGTGGATGGAAATCAGAGTGAAGGAGTCTTTAAATGAGTAAACAAATAATGCATTTTGTGAATGCCTCAGGTTATTATCATGTCTCTCTCTGGAAGGCAGAACACAGTTGTACTTTCTGTCTACCACACTGAAATCTAATTAGTGCACAGTACTCCCCTTGGTGGCTGGGAGGCCTGTGAGCAAAACATAACATTTGTGCACACACTGTGTCTCATCTAGTTATTAAAAGTTAGTGGATGTGGGCATGGAAATATACCCTTTTTAAACAGATGAAGATATCTCTGGGATTCAGAACTCTTTAAGTATTTTGTAATACCATTGTCAAAAACCCAGGACTATCTTATGTATTTCCTTTTTTGCGTCATGAATTGCACAACAGCACAGGCCTTTCCTATCTGATAATGTGGAGAATGAATTCACAGTAGATACTTGCAAATACTGAGGCAGTGAAATGGGAGGAGGAAGCATTTTCTACCTTTAATTTCTTACTTTTTTTTGTAGTGAACCTCACCAGGCAAGGTAGTTTTTATTGACAGGGATGACTGAATGATATTATACCCAACAGACTGAGAAAGGGGTTCTTCTTGAGAATGCAGCTATTTTGCTCATAGCTTCAGGCGAGTTGCAAGACAACTCTACACCAACTCTAAATCAAAATGAAAGGTGAAATACATTCATGAAAAGAACAGTCATTAACTATTAGCTAAATCTGAAGGGCAGACTAAGCTGGTGTACATGGACTATGTCAAAACTGTTCTTGGACAACTGTAATTCTTCTATTCCTTCTGATACCCCTAGGGAACGTACAAAAGAAAGGGTGTCTTGAAGGATAACTGGGAATTCTGAACTAAGTCAAACTTGGAATTCAGTATGGGAAGTTTCACAGCACACACTTGCCATCAGACATTACTTCATTTCCAGTGAAAGGTTCAGCTTTCTCATTTGTAACAAAGAACGCTGCAGTTCCAACAGAAAGGGATTTGTTCCTTAGTAACAGTGTGCACTGGAGTGATAGATTTATTTTTTTTTCCCCCCTTAATAGATACCCTAAGGGTATTAGAAGCCTCGGTAGTTTGTGGTTTTTATCTCTGGAAAGAGGAAAGAGAAGGAAACTAGCCTAATACAGGTCAAGTGACAAACGCGTTAGGTATCGTTGATTTTTTTTTAAGATATCCAAGGATTAGATTAGGTTAATCTTTCCAGAGGCACACAAAGTAAAGTTGTTGGGTTTTTTTTTTTAATCTGTCTAATGTTGAAGGCTTTAATGTACATTAATACCATTCTGACATAATTGTTAGAGAAATTGTACTCTTCTACACGAGTAATTTCCACCAGATCTCACAACACGTACATAAAGTGATCAACTGATATTGCCGTTACCAGAAGAGAACCATGAATGGCAATTCCTCAGTAAAACAGAATATGGGTAGTTCCTTCCAGGTGCTATTATTTTCTTTCCCTTTCTCTCTGTAAATAGATGCTACTGTTTGAAGTCTCAATGTAAAGGATATGTGGGGACAACAAGGATTTTATGGTGACAGTAGGGATTCTGTACAGTAAAGATTAAAAAAGAATAAACATCTATGCCAATATGAAAGTTCCTTTTATTTTAGTCATGTCATAGATTTGGTTTATGTGATACGAGGATCACTGGTGAACTGTTTCTCTGAGATATTTTGATGCTAGAGCTGTCAATACTGAAAGCAAAGTGTGCCTCTCATCTAAATAGCCCTTTAACAGGTATTTGAAGATAAATAATAATTTGATTCCTCCCCTGCCACCTTAAGCATATTTAAGCATATGCTTAAGTGCTTCCTTGCAATACTGCTATAAAAATACTCTTGGAATATTTTGAATTGGAATTGCCTATTGGAATATAAGAAAAAAAAGGATTCCCATTAAAGGTTGTCAGGTAATGGAACAACTAGAAGGTTGCCAAGATGCTAAGGGTTAAACTCAAGAAGTCTTTCAGTAGGAGGAGATAAACAAGATAATCCAGGCTATAAAATTAATTTGCAACTCTTGTCAAATGTTTGTGACTGCAGGTTGAAAATTCCACCCTTAATTCTCAAAGCACATCTCTTATGAATCAGAATGCACAACTGTTGATCCAGCAGTCTGCTTTAGAAAATGAAAATGAATGTGTGCTCAAGGAACGTGAGGATCTGAAATCATTGTATGATTCACTTCTCAAAGATCATGAAAAACTGGAACACCTGCATGAACGCCAAGCTTCCGAGTATGAATCTCTGATCGCTAAACATGGAAGTCTTAAATCTGCACACAAAAATTTGGAGGTGGAGCATAAGGACTTAGAAGATAGGTAAATACTAATATGCATGAGTAAAATGAGAGTCTTCGATTCCTAAGCAAAAAAGCAAAAAATGCTGTATAACTAGGATGAAGAAAATTAGTATTACGTAAATATAACATTAGGATCTTAAATAATTGAAAGATCACTTCTTAAGAAATGCTGTATTTTCTTGTCATTCCAAAAATAGAAAGTTCAATATTATTTTTGTTTTCAGGTACAATCAGTTGCTGAAACAGAAGGTGCAGCTGGAAGAACTGGAGAAAGTACTCAAGATAGAACAGGAGAAAATGCTGCAGCAAAATGAAAAGCATGAAACTGTAGCAGCAGAGTATAAAAAACTTCGTGATGAAAATGAAAGGTAAAGCAAAAGTCTGATATGTGTATTAGTAGAGCTCTGGCCGCTTGCCAGTACCATCTAAATAACTGTTGTATCCCCTCACATTCCTCAATACCTAATGCTGCAATTCAGGACATTTCCAATCCATACCAAAAACCAATTATTGTATCCTGAGGATACTGAATTCCACACAGCGTCTTGAAGGATGTCAGGCCAAGCACTGTGCAGTATGGATGTGAGCTGTAGAGGGAGCAAGCCACTCTTGAGCCCAGGAATCAAGATATGAAACCTCCGTGATTGCCAACGTTTGGACCATTCGTGTTTACTTACTATTTTGTGTTGGCAAGAAATTCTAGTTGTTTTGTGAGATTCTTGAATTTTGAAAAGTGACATCTTAAAACTAGTTGTGATGTCCACATCTAGAAATCCTGCTTCATTTTTAAACATACGGAGCACCCAGAG